GTGGCATGCATACCTGGCAATGTGGAGACTGATCCTGGTACCTTTTGCATGCAAAGCATGTGCTCTGCCATGAAGCTACAGCCCTTCCCTGGGGCCCCATTGTGGGATAGGGTGCTGGTGAGCACTGAGAGATCCAGCATAATAAGAGCTGGAGTCTTTCCTTTCTTTTCCTCCTTGAGCATTCATTGTTCCTATGCATTGCTCCCAAGAACTGAGCAACTGAAAAGGGAAATGGAAAAAGCACAGTGCTGGATGTGAATGCTCATTCATTGGACATGGATGTGGAATCAAAGGAAGGACACTCTCAAAACGCATCAGCTGTACAAAAGTAAGTTAAGAGCAAGGAAAACCTGGTGCTTCACCCAAGAGAATTTCACTGAATTTTTCTCTCCCCTCAGATAATGTAATTTCTGTTCTCATCCACTGATAGAGAGTTGGGATGCAAGAAGAAATTGTCGGTGCAGCGCTACTTTTAACTGTGAAAAGGACAGAGAGAGAGCTGGCTATGGATCTCCCAGGGCACATCTTGTTTGGCCCTGTGCCTGAGAGTGGGTGCTGGCAAAGAACAATCCCAGCATCTCTATTGCTATAGTCTACTGAAGGGTGATCCACTCGGGTGCACCTCCCACCAACCTCATTCTGCCCTTAGCCAGCCCCCACCTACCTACCCTCTTACTCACAGCCGGTCAGTTTCCTCTGCCACCGCCTCAGTGCTTGCCCTTGGAGAACTCAGCAGACAGAGACAAAACTAGGAAGAGATGGCTCTCTGCCTGTCATTGGCTCTGGCACCACCTGCTCTTGGCTTCCCTGCCTTCTTCCCTACCAGTTCCAGCGGCACAAGCCACCACAACTATAACCAAAATATATAGAGACAGAGGGGAGAAAGGTCTTAAAAGTATGCACACATTGGTAATAGATACTGCAGAGTCTTGCACCGTGGGTATCGGGGGAGGGGAAAGCAATTGAAGAAGCGCCGTCAAGCTGGAGGGAGAGGCTGGAAGGACAAATTGAGAAAGCCAGTATAAATAGCAGCTGGCTTCAGACCAATTTCACATGTGCTACTTAAGTGTTTTTGAGCCTCCCTCTCCTTGTTGGAGTGCAGGTGTGGAAGATAGAAATGAAATTGAAAAGGTTATTATATCAGGTTTTTAAATTGATTGTTGGTGCTAAGGAAGGTGGATTGACAAGCTCCTTCCTGCATTTTTTTGCCTGTGTGTCGCTCATGATCTGACATGCTCTTTCTCTGCTAGGGACTGTAATTTTAAGGATGTGCTGGTTTTTTACCCACTCTTTTCGTTGTAGGTTGTTGTTTTTTTCTTCTTTCTTAAACTATTTTAATTGTATTCTATCCAGGCTTGGGAATGGTGTGCTAAAAGCACTCTTATTAAATAACAAATAACTCAAGTACATTTTAGGTCTACACCCACCATAGGCATGTAGGCTGAATCTCCATACTCTGCACCACAGCCTTCCCAAAGCTTGTGCACTTGAAATATGGGACGTCCCTTCTCATCAGCTCCAGCGAGAATGTCCAGTGGTGAGGGTTGATGGGAATTGTAGTCCATCAACATCTGGAGGGCACCATCTTGGGCAAGGTCTCCCAATGAGAGGAGCAGCCCTCATGACTTATTCCTGATGTAACAGTTAGATCAGGGGCAGTGGGCTAGAACCAAGACTGGGGCCTTTGGACCCCAGGGGTTGCTCATGACCTATTGGATTTGCAGACAGGGAGCCTGTGATGGTCATCCTTGAATGGCAAGATGCAAAAGAGCACAGGGAGTCCTTGAATCTTTAATAGTTGTGTAGTAGGGAAAATTTCAGCAAGTATTTCTTGTCAGGGGTTGGGGAGATAGCATCTCTGGTGAGGGACAGTTCATGCTCCTTCTGGGGTAGCTTGCCCACCTTTGGTCCCCACCCTGCACTCCACGCTCACCTGTGGCTCCTAGAAGCTGTCAGGATGTGACAGCAGCCACACCCCAGGAACAGCTCCAACTGGTTGGCTAAACCAGGTAAGTGGGTCAATGGGTCTCAGATCCTTGGTGGGTTAGGGACTTCCCCTGAATGTGAAGACGGGCTCTGGCAGATTGAGCAGACAAGACCAAGAGTAAGTTCAGTGGTCAAGAAGGCAATTTCTGCACATGCTGTAGAGGGAAGTGAGGGGTGGATAGGGCTTGTCCACCTGGGAAGGAGAAGGAAAACTCTGATCCTAAACCTCCACTGCCTTTCTTCAGGAAAAGAAAAAACTAAAGAGTTAACCCTACACACCTGCGGGGTGGAGTCCCTAAGGCCCCTCCATGGCAACTCCTGCAGTCAAGCTGTTGCCAAATGTTTGCTCTGCTTTCCTTTGGACCCCATCAGTGCGGCCAAGAAGGGAGTCTTGTCGTCTAGGCAGCCCATGACCTCCATACACAGTGCCCAAGATTGCATCCTGGGGAGGTCACTTCCGTGCTGCTAACGCAGCATTTTTACTTCACCCCTGGAGGGGCATTTCATTGTCTCTTGAGACAGACGGGTGCCAACAACAACAATATATTGTCATGTAACAGTCAATGGGGGTCGGGGGGGGGGGAGGAAAAGAAACTTTTTGCCAGAGAGACTCTGGCACAACACCAGACCATATGTCTGCAGCCTCAGGAAGACGCTACATAACAAAACAGTGAAAGGGGAGGCATGTGAGGGAGGCAGCATTAGTAATAGCTGTGGGCTGGGACTCAGGGGACACTTATGTGCATCATAGCTGATTCAGACGCAGACAGGCTGGCCTGCATGAGCCCTACTGAGCAATCACGTTATCTCTCGCGGGGGCTGGGGGTGGAGACGGGCATCGCACTACCGGGTCAGAGTGCATTTGCACTGGGTTTGTTTAGCACTTTAAAACGTCACACTTCAACACATTTAAAAGAGGCTTTCAGTTAAGAGTCCTTTCAAATAGCTGTGGGGTGGGAGGTGTAGAAGAGGTGGATATTGCCAGAAGTATCCAAATAAAGCCCCTGGGCTGTGCACTGTTCCACTGTCTCACATTACCTTTGCATCTCTGTGGCGTTAACGTTTCAGACAGCGAAACTGCTATCTAGTCATCATAGGCGCCGACTCCATGGGGCTTGAGGGGGCTCGAGCCCCCTCAAAAAAATTTTTGGGGGGGCTCAGCCCCCCCAATAATCTCGGGCGCCGGGGGCGGGGGCTCCTGCCTCGCTGCTTCGCAGCACCACCGCCACTGCCAAGGCACTGCCGGGGGGAATTTCCTTCCTCCTGGCGGTTTCAGCCCCCGCGAGAACAGGGGAATCCCGACTGGCCACACCTCCCAGCCAGCCAATCGGCTGGCTGGGGGGCGTGGCTTGCCCTATTTAGGGCCGGAGCCACTTTATTTGCATATTCATGAGCTTATTTATTATTCATGAGCTTTCCCGGGCCCCCCCAATATTTTTTATAAGTCCGCGTCCCTGCTAGTCATGCTATCTGTGGCTGGTGGGACTTCCAGTGCAGCAGGGGTGCCAACTTGAATGAAATATTGGGGGGCATGTATGCCCTGCCCCACATAATCAATCACATGTTATGGTGCATGCATACCGTTTGAATGGCAATGCCCATCAACTGGGGGGGGGGTCAGGTCTCCTCAAATATTTTATGGGGGGGTGAGGGGACCTCAGCCTCCAGGAGTTAGCTCCTATGCAGTCCACCGACATCCAGAGGGCCTTGGTTCTTCATTCCTGCTATACAGCTGGAAAGCAAATCCCACTCAGTTCAATAAATTGCAACTTTGGATTTGTTTTCTGTTTTTAAGTATTTGGAGACCACGCACTCCTTTTTCTGTGCTCGAACAAACACGCAGCCAAGTTTGTAAAAGGGAGGGTGGAATAAAAGTGGTAAATTAGCATTATCCCATAGTTCTTGTTAGCTTCGGGCAATTGGAGCTTGTACTCCTAAGCATCCATACTTGGAAGACCTACTTAACACAATGGGATTTACAAGGGAACATGTCCGTCTAATGTTTCTGGACTGCAACTCGAGATAAAGGCCCACCTGTCTGTGGGATACTAGTTTCCATGGGATGTTAGTCTGCTACTGCAATGAGAAGCTATGAGTGGCTCCATGGGAGTTTTATGTCTCAAATGTCGAGTGACGCCCCATGTTTTCCCCTGCTATAAATTCCACTGAAATTGGTTGCATTTTAATGTTACTGAAATTGTTTTATGTTCTAACTGTATTGGATTGTAACCCACTTTGGGGCTGGCTAAAAATCTGATAAATAAATAAATTCAGTCTCTATAGTCTTTTAGTGCCTGTAGCTCTTTCATAATCTCTTTGAATTGTGCACACCCTCATGGAGGCTTGGGGTGCTTCAGGCTATATTCATGTTATCTATTTCTGCAGCTCCTGGCAGTTACAGTATTCCTAATCATAGGAGCCAACTCCTAGGGGTCTCCCCCCCCCCCAGTTTATGGGCATTGTCATTTGAAAAGGGTGTGTGGGGCAGAGCTTACCTGCCCCCCCCCATATTTTATTCAAGTTGGCACCCCTCCTCCCAATCATGTCCCAGGTCCACTTTCAAAACAACCACCGGACAGTGGGCGGAGCCAAGGCCAAGCTCCAGCCGGGCGCGTTTTTGCCAGGTCAAGGGGATGATCCTCGATTTTGGGTTGGGACGGAGAAGTAGGCGGGGGGGGGGGCTTGCCCCAAAGAGATCCTAGTGAGGGATGCAGCTAGGTCGCTCGGGCCTGGAGCCAGGCAGATCAATGCAAGTGGGACGCGGGGGCGGGAAATCTCGTCCCGAAATTCCTGCTTTCTTCGGCAAGATACCTGCTCGATCCCGTCCCGAAGGCAAGGGCTGCTTAGAGGCGCGTCTGCGTCTCCGGGCGAGCATCTCTCCGGGCAGCTTTCGTGTGCGTGTGCGGCTCTCCCCCGCGCTGCCTGTGCGTGTCGGGGGAGGCCCCTCGGCCCGAGCAGCCAATCGCGGCGCGAGGAGCGCGCCCTGGGTGGGCACGAGAGCGGCGGGGCGCGCGCAGCCGGGACGGAGCGAGAGAGGAGGTGGCGGCGGCGGCGGCGGCGGCGGCGGCAGCGCGGCTGGCAGAGGGGACCGCGGGACCCGGAGGAGAAGCCGGCATGGAGCCCAACAGTCCCCGCAAGATCCAGTTCACGGTCCCGCTGCTGGAGCCGCATCTCGACCCGGAGGCGGCGGAGCAGGTGGGTGGCCAGGACCTTGCCAGGCGGGCAGCTGGCTTAGCTGTGCGCGGCGTAAAGGGGATTTCTTTTCTCTCCCTCCCTCGCCGAGATCTGGAGTTACAGCTTCGCCCCGGGACCTCTTTGTCTGGGTTATGTGGGATTCCCATTCTTAAGCGCCCTTTTGAAGTCACCGTGTGGCTCCCGATCGCCGCTCCTCCCCATCCAGTAGGATGCACTGAAGTGGCTTTTGGAGCGTCTCTGAGCATATGCAGAATGCTTTCCTCTCTCCATCGGGGCTCCCCTCTGTTTTGAGCCTGTGTCCTCTGTCGGGTTTTCAGCCCTGGCAGATCTCGTGTGGGAAACTGCGATGTCCCGGTGGTGTTTTCCTTGGCACCGCATGTGCTCAGGAACGGGGACGCAGTCGGGGCAGGTTTCTCCTGTATGTGCCCCCACCCCAAACCCTTCTCTCAAGAGGAGCCTCTCCTGGAGGTCATGAATTGGGTTTACTGTGAGGGTTGAGCGTCCTCTTCCTCCTCCGAGTAACCCAACTCCACAGATGTAAAGGTGGCATATCTTGTGGCATTGCAATGGGACGTGTTCTGGGATCTGGGTGGTGAGCTCTGTGGGACTTCTCCAAGCTCTGGAGTGGGGTGGTCGTGGTGGGTGGGTTGAGCACCGGGGAAAGGGTGGGATTGTAGCTTGTGGGTGTGGTGTTTGCCATTTTCGTCACTGGGCTTTCAGTCATATGTAGGTCACTTTAAGGAATTGGGGCTGTGGCAGGGTGCTGCCCCCAATGTGGAGTGCTTGGTTCTGGGGGGTGGTTTGGGGTGAAAGTGCAAGCGTTTGGGTTGTCCTGTTTTCAGGTTTGCACTGAAATGCCAGGGGGTTATAGAGAGTTGTGTAGCACATGCTTATTAGGGTGCTAACTTACATCTGCAACAATACCATCTTTCTAGGCTTATTATGTCCGCCAAATAACTCCCATCGCTTTTAATATTTCTTCTGATTTTTCTTAGATATCAGGGATGCTTTGTCAATGGGCACTCTTGGACTGTGATCACATCTGCTGTGTAGCTGGAGGCTAGTTAGTTATAGGTTGGCTCTCCTGTGGCGGTGAGGTTGCAGGCTGAAAGGATTGTCCGTGGGTGGCTGCTGTGCCATTTTATTGGGAGGGTGATGAAAAGCAGGGCTCGCTGTTTGAATTAAATTATGAGAGATTGCAGTGGAGGTTTGGGATCTGGACACTCTTGCTCTGGGAGGTATTGTGTAATGGGAAATAAATGGGGAGATTTTAAAACAGTGCAAAGGATGGCAGGGCACCTCTGACTATAAGAGTTGATGGTTAAAGTGGAATAAGAGTGATCTAAATGTATGGTGTGGATATGACCACTACTATTAAAAGTGCTCGGGAACCTAGTGCTCTCTTGTGCCTGGCCTAGGGTTTTCACACACACATATATATTAACTGACCCTCTGCTAATGCACTTTTTTGAGCCGCTTGCTATGAAGACATATCAAGTGTTGATGTTCCTCTCCATGCTGTTAAAATCACCAGCTGCTGATGTCTGCAGGTGAAGTGGCTGTTAAAAAGCCAGAGGCAGGCCACAGTGGCCTTTTCCCAATCAGTTGGCAACCTTCTCCACCATTGGAAGATCCTCTAGATCAGGGATCTGAATTCTGTGGTTCTCTAAGAGGTTGTTGGACTACAACTCCCATAATCCCTGACTGTTGGCCACATTTGATGGGCCTAATGGGAGTTGTAGCACATCAACATCTGGAGGGCGACAGGTTCCAATTCCTCCCTGTGCTAGGTGGAGCACAATCTTATTTCTCCACCCACACCTAGTCTCCTGCCTTTAAGGGGAAATGGCCTGAGAGGGGATGAGGTCAAGTTAGTCAAATACAATATGCTTCATACATACCGGGTTGAGGAACCCTGGCCCTGGGGGGAAATGCCACCCTCCAGGCCTCTGTCTTTCTATAAAGCCCTTGGAGCACACCCCAAAGGACATCCCCTAACAGGCCTGTTTCATGCTCTCTTCTAGTACTTTTGTCTGGCTAAAGCACATCATTGAACTGTGGTGATGTCCTTGGCTGGATAGAAGGAGGAAAGTAGTGGATGTGTATAAACCTCTGACTTTTGCATGGATGTAATCTATCTTCTTGTTAAAAGTCAAATCCATTGCTCTGCCTTCATTTTGCCTCTGGCCGCACCCACCATTGCCATGGGCTGCCCCTAAAGGAAGTCATCCCTTGGGTTGAACAAAATTTCCCTGCTGCTGTTAATTCTCTTGTATGGAACCTGCTTCCCAATACTGGAAGTCTATACGTACAATTTACTATGTTTTATGTAGCTTTTCAGAGATATACTCTCTCACAAAGTGGCTTGTACCATTTAAAAAAAGAGGGTGGTGGCACTGCCCTCAGGCTTCCAAAGACACACAAGAGAAGGGAAGGGGAGGGGGAAAGAAGCTGAAGAAGAGCAGTCATTTTAAGGCTGGAAAGAAGTGGTAAGCCATAAGTGGGTTCTGTTCACATGCATGGATCAAGCAAAAGAGATCAAGCAAAACAAGCTCTTGAGGGAGACACTTGTTCATCCCCATGATTGTTCACAACAGGGTTTGGGCCATCCCTGTACCATGTAATGGAGAAGTGGGGAAGCTGTGGCCTTCCAGATGTTGTTGGACTCTAGTTCCTATCCTTGGCCATGCTGGTTGGTGGCAAGTGGAGTCCAACAACATTTGCAGGGCAACAGATTGCCCATCTTTAGCATACAACGAGAAGGGGAGCACACAGAATATGACTGGGGGTACAGCCTAGCTGAACTGCCTAGGCTTATATTGCGATAATAATAATTTAATAATAATAATAATAATAATAATAATAATAATAATTTATTTGTACCCTGCCCATCTGGCTGGGTTTCCCCAGCCACTTCCAAAATGAAGACAACACACCAGTTATCCCACTCCCCCCCCATCAGCTTCCTTGCAATGCTTTGTCAGTTTTGGAAAAGTAGAGATCTTGTTAGTTTTGCCTCCGTAGGAAAAGATGCCATTTAAGGAGGGTTCTCAGAAGAAGCTGCTGAGCAGTTGATCCTGCACCTTTAACACAAAGAAAGAGCAAATGCCCTGGATCCCTTTTTTTGTCTTCAGGAAGTCAGTGCTGCTAGAACTAGAGCCTGATCTATCATGAGCGCTTAAGAACATTCTCCTTAGAGCAATACCCAGGTAGATTCTACTCAATGAAAAAGGCCCAGCACCCACTGACAGAGCTTTCTTTGCATGTAGAAGCATACCGTCCAACATTTCTCAGTTGAAAATAGGGACATTTCTCACACACACTGAACTCCCCCTCCTCAGCCCCCTATTTTTGCCCCCCCCAGCATTTCCTATCAGAAGAAGGGTGAGTGCTGCAGCAATGGGACACAGCACACACACCCTCCACCGCCCTGAGAAAACCCCTTCATCCTGAATTAATTTTATTCTTTAATAGAGTTACAGAAAGAAAAACACCCCGCAAAATAAATTTTTAGAAAGGGATAAGATTAGATGTGGATGCACACATCTTGGAGGGTCCTGCCCTCTGCCTTCCCCTCAGCTGGTGCTTCTTGTGGGGCTGGGTCTTGGCGGCGGCAGCCTCTCCTTCTCGCCTGCTCTCCAGCAGCTGCTACAAACTGCCCCAGAGAGAAGGCTGGCAGCAATGGCCATGGAGAGGCCAAGGGATGCTCCCTCACAGCCACCCCACCACTGCTGTCACTTGGGAAAAGTGACAGCTTATTCTCCTCCCCAAGCTCAGCACTGGCAGCGAAATAGGGACATTTTGGCATCAAATCAGAAGCCGGGGTGGCTTTTGTAATTCTGGGACTGTCCCTGGAAAATTGGAACACTTGGAGGGAATGCACAAGGTCCTAGGTGCCCTTCAGATGCTCTAGGACTCCAACTCCCATCAGTCCAAGACAGCATGGCTAGTGGTTGGGGGATTATGGAAGCAGCATCTGGAGAACTTCAGGTTTCCTACCACTCTCCTAGGTTCAGCCTCTGGTATCTCAGTACAAGGATGATGGAAGCCAGGATGGGGAAGAGATTGTGGAGTTCCACTATCCAACAGAGTAGACACTACTGAGCAGCTTGAAGGTCCTGGCTTGGTCAAAGGCAGCTTCATGTGACCTTGCTGCTGTACACTCAGTGCTTCCCATCCTGGGCTCCCTTTCCTCCCCACCTTCCTTGCCTTGTGGAAAGCCTGATTGTTGGTGCTTTGATGACTTCTGCTCTGCCCCATTTGGCATGACAGCTAGCCCCAGTCCCTGACCTGCCAGGTCACTGTGACTGTTCACCTCCCATAACCTGCAGTTACCTAATCGTAGATTACACTGGAAATGTAAGGAGACATTCTTTTCTGACAAGGACTTTGCTGCCAGCCTGCATTTTATGCTTTTGATGGTGTTCTGGGAGCATTTGCTGGAAATGTATGGTCTGGTTCACGTTATCTATGTACATCACTTGCTTTCCCATCTCTTGGTGACTCACAAGCGGGTCTGTGAATGGACTCTCATTGGAAAGGCTTGAGGTGGCTGATCTGCCTCATCTGCATGCAATTCTGCAGTCATCAAGTGATAGCAGCTGTGAATGTCTGAATCAGCCCACAGAGATTTAATGGACCAGAGAGTCACAGGGACAGTTCCAGCTGGTTTAGTTGAATTCACAGGTGCTTTATTATAAATGCTACCAAAAAACATGGACATTCTCCCTCACCCCCAGTAAAGCTTGCCTTCTCTCCAATGGGCAGCAGACAGCTTTTCATCTAAACCAATTTCCTTCAGGGTAGATTTGATTTAAATCAAATAGATTTAAATCACAATTTAAATCACTAGTCAGTAAGACTTGATTTAAATCATTTTTTTTTACAGAAAGACTCATTCTTGCTGGTATAATCTTAATATTTACAACAAGATGAAGGTTTAATTTTTGGAATAATAAATTTTCAGAGCAGTTTTTACAGTTATATAAAAAATTACTGAT